ATATTTTGACCTCAGTATGGATTGTATGAAAATTACTAGTCACTTTCTTATTTCCAAAAATGGCTTGGGAGAATTTATTTAAAAGATTAAATTTATTTATGCATTTAAGAACTGGGGTACAGGCCAGAGTTGCAGTATCTGTATGTGAGAGGGTTCACCAGAAACAGAGTGGGGAGCAGAACAGGCAGATCCAGTGAAATACACTGCTGAGGGTAGCAGCAGGCGGGTCAGGAGAGGTCTGCACGCCATGAGGGTCATTCCCTGGCCAGGACTGAACTCAGGATTGAACTCGTGCTGTAGTGGCTGTGGTTGGCTTCATAGTGCTGTGCTTTAACCCCTTGAACCACCAGGGAGAGCCTGCCTGGGAGAATTTAAGTAAGTTTTGAGTTGTGTAAATTTGGCCACTGAATATGGTCACACGATTGAAAGTAAATACATTAGTTTGGATGACATAAACCTTAGAGGCTACTCTTTTTTAATTTTTTTTTTTTAAAAAGGCAGCTCCAGACTGTAGACTCATCCTACAGAACCAGAAATAGTGTTCCAGAGGCAGTTTGCAAACATCTTGGTCAGAGGAAGTCCTGGTACACCCAGAGTCTACATGGAAGGCCTTCCAAGGTTAAATGTGAAAGGTGTAGACGAGGCAGGCGTAAAAAATATGAACCAACAGCATGATCAGTTACCTGCCTACCTACTCCCAGTTAAAACTAGCCATATCAACTTACCTCAAATTCTCAAGTGGCTCCTGTATTAATTTTACTGAAGTCATCAGAATGCCGCCCCACTGTCCACACTTTCGCTAGACAAGCTCAGAGGCTTACACCTCTGAGAGGTAAGCTCCTGACATCAGAAACGTGTTTGTTCACGGGGTGTCCCAGCGCCTTGCCAATGCCAGGTCCATAGAAAGCGCTCAGTGAAGGGCCCATGTAGAGGCCAGGAGACTTCAGGCAGAGGCCAACATCCCTGGAGGCATTTAGCCTCTTAGGTGTGATCAGTTGGAGGTGTGTTCGAGGTTAGCGAGGTCTAGGGAGCCACATCACAGAGGGCTTGGGAGAGGGTTTGTTCTGCACAAGACAGTAAGTCACTATGGGCAAACTGCAAACTGGCACCACATAGCAGTGCCAAAGTGAAGGGTCACTCTGGGGTGGTGTTGATGGGATGGGTAAGCAAACCGGACGGCACAGGTCCCGCATCCATTTTAGCCCTCTAGAAATCCCTGCAGGCAGAGCTCAGCTGTGAGCTCGTGTGTCTCTTTACCCTGCACAAACCCACGGGAGAGGCGGGGAGGTGTGACGGTGACGCGGTAAGGAGCTCACCAATGGCGATTTTTTTTTGTCTACTCAGCTTTCTCTTGATTTCAAGAGAAAGTTACTGTTCCTAAGTAACTATTCAGTATTAGTTTGCTGCACGTTCTACTTTAAATTACCGTCAAATTGCTACATCTTATCCTAGGTGTGTTTGTACAGGAAACACATAGCATGAAAGTTGAGTATTTGTGGTTTCAGGAAACCAACCACTAGGGGTAGCAGAAAGTACCTCCTGCAGAAGGGGAGACTACAGCAAAGAGCTTGGGGCGAACTCGGAGCGCCTAACCAGGCTCACACAAAACCGGACTTCCCTACCGAGTCAACGAGGACTCACCATCTCGCGTTTCTCCAGCTGAGAAAGCAGGTGTGATGGCTGGAACTACTGTTACCTTGTTTGAACGGATGTGTTCAGATCTCACAAATCTGTATTCTGGACTTTGGAACTGTCGGTAGCGCTGTACTTGGCCACACATCCCCGGCAAACAGTGTAGCCTGCACACAGCACTCAGCCCCGCCCACTACGTCGCCCTAAAGCCCGGCAGAGCGCCTCGCCTCACGAGTGCATGTGACTACTTGTCCCGCCAGGTTTCAGAGCAATACTAGCAGAACTTAATTGGACCTTGTCCAGGAAAAGCTGCTTCTAAATAGCTAAATGTAACCCACAGAACAGCTTTTATTAAAGAAACACCCCTGTGCTCCTTTTAAATATACTAACCCAGGAGACAGCATCATAACATTTCCATTTGTGTTCACTTAAGTCAAATATTTAATTCTTACTATGTGACTAGTACTATCAGTGGGCATACCTATGAAGGGTAAAGCAGGTTAAGGGAAAGAAATCACAACGTCTTCTACGAGCATGAGTTGAACAATACCTTAAAAAAAAAAGACTATTGTTGTGTTACTAAACCTGGTGGCTTGAATTAGGGTGATGGAACTGGAGAACTATTTTATAGTTGGAGTAGAATCTGAGCTATAAGATATGAGCTGAATTGGAAGGTACCTGTCAATTCAGGAGAATGCAGATGGTATTACTATGTTATGAAGTGAAAACAATCATTTTGGGAACACCGTTGAGTTTAAAGTACATGTGACCCAAACAGTAAAAGAGAGCTAAACAAAACAAAATTTCAACACTGAAGCAAAACAGAAGAGATTAACAAAGACCAAGCTTTACCAACGCCAGCACTTAAAAAAGGCCTGCAGCACACAACCACCAATACAACAGTCATTGCTTTTTCTTCTCAACGAGTCTCATGAAATTTTATTCAATTTCAAGGGTACAGACAAGCAAATTCACAGTAAAACACAGAATGATCCAATGATGACTTGGATGGCTATACTTGAGGTTGTTGAGTGCCAAGAACTACCTATCCAGTAGTTTTTTCCGATCTTCAGTTGTTTGCCATGCCGGGATCCTTTACTCCTAACTAGAATGGAAATGAGGTGTATTTACAGAGAAAATAGTCTATTCTTAAGATGCCAGAGAATGTAGAACACTTTTTTAAGCAACAGGCTTCAGTCTATAAATGGTTTCCTCAATAGGTTTACTTCTAAGTCAACTTGTAAGCACAGCCATCAGATTTCAGCATAAAAAAATGATTTTAACTGTTTTAAGAACTTTTAAATGGTTACACTGACTAGGAATTCCCTGAAGTGAAACAGCCCAATTTACATTAAAATTTGTAGCACCCCAAATCATTATACACATTAATGCAGCTCTCAAACCTGAAGCTAATACAATCATGTATGTTCTAACCCTATCAGTTTATTAAAATACTTTATCCCTTGCTAGATAAAGTCTACAAACGCAGAAAATTAAACAGGTTTTTACCATTGTTTCCTCCAGGGCACTCTAAAAGGTACTTGTTCAAGCAGCAAAGCTTTATTTAAATGACTAGGTTAGCAATGACTCTCATTAAATGGGAAACCAGTGAGCAGGAGGCCTTTCTGAGCCACATCAATTTTCATATATATACAGTTATTTATGTATAGGTGGGTTTAAGTACAAATTCAATGTAATTCAAGTTTTTTTGGGGGGGAAGTCAATTTTACTACTTCGTAGTAAAAGTATCACATTTTCTTGATTCCACTTTAAGCCTACTGAAAATCTTTTATTCTTTAATAGCTGTTGTAAATTTTTAGGCCTCTTGTAAGCTGGTGAATAAAAATACTTTATATTAGAGTATACTGCACATGATAAAAATCACAGCAAGGCAATTTACCAGAATTCTAACAAATGCTTGGCAACTAATGTGACACATGTATACAGCATCTGAAGGAAATTTTTACAAAGGCGATTCAGTAGTCTAAGCAATAATGTGCACTACAACTTTGGCACCACTGTTATATTTAGAGCTAATCAATGTTTCTCAATTGCTGAAGCAGCCCACTTGGTGTGACAGTTTAGAGATTCATCACTAAAACTCCCCTATCATTTATCAAAGTGTCAAACAATTTTAAATAATTAAGCTAGGATTTTAATTTTTATAGGTAAGGAGCCAAATTTAGTCTACATATGCTACACTTAGAATCAAGTAAGATTCTGTTAAGATGGCAAAAGCCAACTTGCCCGATGCCTATCCTGGGCCAGGGACAAAAAGCACAACTGTTAAAGATGGCGACTGGCAGAAACTATATCCCCTCGATGTTCCAGTGACACTGGCCAAAGACAAGCAAAGACGTGTCTACCAGCGCATCCGCTCACCTTTTAGCAAAGATAACAGGGCATGTAGAGCAAGTGGGTGGAGGCAGTATCACCTGTATGCAGGACAAAACCCAGAACCTTCTTTCTATGTGGAGAAAAATCCTAATACACATAGTATATCCACATTAAAACTTTTTGGGCACTATTAGAAAAAGTCTACCAAGGCTTCAGGGGGTTGATAATGAGAAAAAAGCTTTGAGAAGCACTGAGTTAAAAGTATATCTCTTGGTCTTATGCATTTCCTCTCACCACTATCGTATCCTGTGGCATTTTTGGTATCTGGAATGTTTTTAAGGAACAGAATGACAATATTCCAAGAAACATTAAGCAACTTATGATCACCTGTAAGTATACAATTATGGTATGAGAGGAGACTTACTCTTAGAAATGGACACCAAAGGAGAAAACTCAATTAACATTTATCCAACCATAATTTCAAGTACAATTTTAACATCTATATTAAGAGTTACATACTTGAGGCCAGGTTTGGCACTGGCAGCTGAGTTCCCAAATTTCCATTAAAATTTGAAATGAAAATCTGCAAAATCTTTTTAGAAAGCATTCTCTTCTTTAAACTGTCACAGGTCTATTCACCCATTTACTTTAATACTGTAGTCAGTAAACACTACTCTGTCAGTATGAAGGAAAAAAATTATGATCAAAGATCATAGTGTAGTTCTGGAAAACTACACACTCAACTATACACAGTATATAATAAAACAGGATACACTTGTATGGCAGTAAACATGCAGTGATTTGGTTGTAGAAATGTTAAAAAGTGTATTTCCCGCTACATCAGAATTCTGTGTATGTGTTTATAGTTTGGGAGTCAGAAGGATGAAAAAAGCAATTACTTAATGCTTACACAGTAGACACCTGACCACAAAACATACTGTACCACTAGGTATTAACATGGAATTTACAAAAAATAAGAAATTTTAAAAAGAATGATCTATATAACCTATTTGTAAGGATGGACTTTATTTAAAAAAAAAAAAAAGTCTTTTGAAGACTACAAGTTACAAAGTAAAAGCGGATCACTACGTAGAAACCTAGTCAATACATTTTGCTTGTGCACCAAAACTTTATCAAAGTTATTCATTAACAATCTCACCCCATTCACAATGGTATCAGTTAAAATGCTCTTCTTCATAAGGTTACTAAATTTTTATTTCAAATTAAATTACACGTTATTCCCTCTACATGAACTTTTAAACACCAAAAATCCTGGCTTATAAAAATGGCACCTTTGAAAGGGGTAATTTCCACTAAGCCTGTGGTGGCATTATTACAAGCTAGTTTCTTTCACTAATTAAAAAAACTTCCAAATGTTCACTGTTAACATTAACATGAAGTCTTTCCCCCAAAAAGTGTGGCTACATTTCTAATGACTACATACGCAGATGGGTAGCAGCAAGAAAAAAAAGATGGAAATTAAAAGGCAGCCGTTAAAATAAATGGATCAATTGTATAGAATATTTGGCTCATGGCAACTAAAAAAATGGCAACATTAACATTACTGAGTGTGTTGAGAATGAAGTTAGTCCGGTATGACCAAGTAGAAATGTATCATCACTGCACTTCATTCTTTACAACAAATACTCTAAGTCAATATAAAAAGCAAATTATATTGAGAATCCCAATTAGAACATTCTAATAACCACTTCATATTTCCAACAATTTTTACTGGGTCTAGTACATTCATTTCCTTTATTCATACTACTTTGAATCTCTTCCTATCAATTTATGTGTAGGACAAGAGTAAGACAATTTAAATGACAAGACCTTTCTAAGGTACATTTGAAAATGTGTATGAAAAGAATACCCATTTGTTTTGCCCAGAAAGATACAAACTGAATGCCTAAGTTCTTCCCATCACCTGTGCCACATGAGATTGCCCAAAGACCTCACTTTCAAGCTTACCCTCCAGGGCTTCACTGAGGAATGAAAACCAAAGTACAAACAGTTAAGCTCAATGACAGCTGAAGTTAAAAAAAAAAAATGCAAGAAAATATTAACATGCAAGTAATGGTCCAAATACTCAAGATTTCGTGTAACTGAATTCAATTATTGTACATGAGATTTTTTCATTGATGAGTAGGGCTTTGGGCATACCAAATTATCACACAAATCATTTCCTTTTGAGACTTTGGATACTTTTACAGTTTAATTTGCAAACAGAATTTATATAACAAATTATTTTTAACCAAATCATATTTTGAAAACTGTTTATATAGAAAACCCAGGGAATAAAGTGAATTGTTCATTGTGGAAGGCCTTAAATTACATTATTACAGTAGAAAATACAGGAGGTAGAAGGTAACTGAAAAGACTAATGCAACATTAGATTCAAATCTATAGCTCCTGTAGCTACTTAAAACATGGTTTTAGAAACTAAACCCAACATTTCCAGTAACCATAGAAATAGTTAAAATAAAATTTGCCATGAAAGCCCTTATATCATGCTTGATACAGGGAGGTAGGAAGATGTAAGAACCAGGACACATGAGACACGACACTTATCTACAACTCCTGTTTGCTTTACTAGAGGGTGTAGTTTCAAAATTCAGTCACCTTCTTCAGCTTCAGACTCAGATTCTAGAAAAGGGGAAAAAATGTAGTCAAGCATTATGTAATTATCAGAAAGTGAAAGTCCACCTTCAAAACTTCATTATAGTCAGGAAATTTTGTTACATGTATTTTTATGGGGATTATTTTAAAAACATTCACTTGTAGATCCTCAAAATTCTTATTAAATGTTATCAAAAATTTTAATTTTTCTTCTAAAATTGCTTAGTATATATTACAGTTGAGTCATCAAAAATACTTCAATAATCTGAAGTCTAGTTTTTTCACCTGTCTTATAGGGAATGTTGAGGTACAAAATGGTATTGAAGGTGGTTTGTGTAGAAACAGCCTATAGCTATACTAAAATGCTTCACTAAACTGCATACAGTAAGACACTCACCTTCTTCGGCATTTTTGAGCCACTCTACAAACTTCTTCATCTGCTCAAGGAAGACACTTTTGCCCTTTGCAACATGAGCATCTTTATACCACTTCAGAATGGGCTCTTCACTCAGGACTTCAGCTGTGCAGAAAAATTGTTATTACATTCGGCGATTTTACTTCTAAGTCTTAGGCAGAGTCAGAACCCACCCCAGGTGCAAAAAATGCCCTCAAGGCAAAAAACCTACTGTCATGTTAAAGAAAAACAATTATTTTTGTTGCCTACAAAATAAATTTATCCAGGCACTTTTAAAAGGATTATTCAATAACTTAAATAAAAAACTAGTAAAGATGAAATGAGAGCCCTATGTTAAGAAACTTTTGAGTCAACTTGTTGCCAAAGTATGATCCTAATTAAAACTAGGAAGAAACTTATGAAAGCAATCACTGTCATTTTTGCTCCTAATGGGTTATCTGTCTGTTTAGGCATTTTTTTTTTCCACAAAGATTTATTTACCTATGGTATACAATAACTGGAGGACAGGCCAGAGGTGGGAGGGTGAGAGGATTCACCAGAGCTAGAGTGGGGGGTACAAAATAGGCAGACTGAAATACACTGCTGAGGGGAGAAGCAGGGGGGGTCAGCAGATGTCTGCTCCATGTTGGTCTCCTCCCTGGCCAAGAATCACACTCATGCTGCAGTGGCTGTGGACAGCTTCATAGTGCTGCACTTTAACCCACTGTGCCACTAGAGAGGGTCCAGTATCACTGCTCTTAAAAACTCAGTTTAATCAGGCAATTAAATCCTCTGATTTCAGTATTTTAGGGAGCTGATTTTCAAACTAGCCACTAGAATTAATTATGCTAGGGTTTTTAAATGCATTCACAAATCAAAAAAAAAAAAATACCTTTGTAAAAAAGCACCACTATTTTCTGGAAGGCTTTCATGAAGTGAATGTTGTCATAGCAGTACTCCTGAATCTTCAGTAACAGAGTCAGCTCAGACTGGCCTTGAGTAGTGAAGGCAGCAAGCAGAGGGCTGTATTGCTTTTTTAAAGGTGAGGAGGGAAAGGTGGTTCATTATAGTGATCATCCACTATAAAACTCTTAAAAGTCTAATAACTTCTTTCACAATCACATGAATTATGTTCTATCTAATGACAATTAAAAATAAAAGTAAACAAACCTATTAAACATCTAAGTCAAACAAGCAATGTTGCATCAAGAACAGAAAATGATCAATATAATGTTATTTTAGAGGAGAAAAAACCTTATTTTCCGAGTCTCTCAAAAGGAAACACCAAACTGCAGGTTTAAACTACTCTCAAACATGTATTGGTTTCTAACATTTGACTCAAAGAACAAGCAAATCAAGGGCTGTCAGACATCGAAGATTATTATCATTAGTTAATGTGCTTTTATTTACTTAATACCAGGTTTTCTGGCTCTCCTAGGAACCTCAAATGTGGTAAGCCCTCTTACCAAACTACAGTGACAGTTTACTTAACACCACCTAAAAGCAAAATAAGGTTTTTGTCAAGGTGCAGTTCTAATACCTTCAAGTGCTTGATGGCTTGCTCTGCTACAAGCTCCTCTTTTTTGTTCCATTCCACAGTGCTCATTACACTGGACCAGACTATTCCGATGACAACAGGTTCTGGGATGTTGTTTTTTTTCATCTCCTCCTTGACATACAAAATTATCTGCAAAAGAATCCAAATTTAATTATAGTCAGTTTCGATGAGTACATTTTCCTTCTTTGTATTTACAAAAGTGTGAAAACACTGTTATGCAACAGGTAACAAACACGTGCCACATCCAATTAGAGAACTTTTAGAACTGGAAAGACAGACCTCTAGCTTAAACTTTATATAGGTCTGTCTATTGCACACTCTACCAGAGCCCCAAGTGTTATCATCAGGGTATTTATTTAGTAAAGGCACTGAATATAAAAAAGTGGAGGCAATGTCCCACTATTACATTTTAAAACTCACTCTCGTGAATAAAAATTTTCTTGGCTAAAAACTGAGCCTATATAAAGATGGTTTAAACAAAATATATCTTACATCCTTAAATGGATCACCACGGGACATCTGTTCTTGAAGTTCCTTCTGGAGTTCCTTACGAGCTCCTATGGTTTGCTGGTTTCGAACATATTCTGAAAGCTCTTTCAACCCTGCCTCAGTGAAATACTTTGTGAAATGTTCAACGCTTTGTTTATTGGCAGGAAAAAGTTCCTGAAAGGAGAATTTAATTCAGTTAAATAGTCCTTAAGACTCAGAAAAACACTTTCCTTACTTATTCATTCATTCTTTCATGCATGCATGTATAGAAGAACTGGTGCACAGGCCAGAGCTGAGGTGAGAGGATTCACCAGAGACAAGAGTGGGGAGCAGAACCAGTGGATCTACTAAAATACACGGAGAGGAGCAGTGGGTAACACTAGAAAGGTCTGCTGCACCGTGTGGGTCAGCTCCTGGGCCAGGGATCATACTCAGGCCACAGCAGTGACAGTGTGATAGCACCAAGACTTAACCCCTTTGTCACCAGGGAGGCCCAAGTTCTTTTTCACACTAGCCTTGGATGTTCGCAATAATGGGAGGCAAAAATCAAAGAGCTACAAACCATCAGTCTGTTATCCATGCTGACTTTCCGAAGACTTGCAGCTACTGCATTGATATCTTTTTCATTTATCCATGATTTAAAGAGCTTTACAGCAAAAGCTGCTGAAACCCCTATAGAAAAAAAAAAAACCCTTACTTAGTAGAAGTGTTCTCCTGAATTCCACCCACCCTACCTCTCCATTTCCGCCCTTCACAGTTCAGCTACACAAGATTACTCACTTTATCCTCAATATTCCCCCCTGAACTTCCCCCCCCTCTGCCTCTGCTAGTCACCTTACTCCACTATCTCCATCCTTCCATCTACTAAGGGGAGCAGCAGGAGAGTCAAGAGAGGTCTGCTGCACCATGTGGTCAGCTCTTTGGTACCACAGTGGTGACAGTGCTGAGACTTAACCCCTATACCACCAGGGAGGTCCTGTAAACGGTTTTCTAATATGTAAGATGAGGGTTCTAGTTCTGATGTTTGAAAATGTTTTTGAGAATTTTTAAAAAGCATATATCCTACCTGCAGTCAACTAAAAAACACCATCTACACTAAAGATGGCTTACCTTCTTTAACCAAATTCTCATTGTAAAGGCTATTGAGAATAGATGCGTTGAGTGTTCCGTTAGCCAGAAGAACACCAGTTAACATAGCCAACTTGTTCCTTTCTGACTCTGAAAAGCCCTTTAAGAACAGCAGCAGCTAGAAAAGTAAACAAGTGTTAAAAGAAGTGCATTGTACTGCTGGTGGGAATGCAAACTAGTACAACCACTATGGAAAACTGTTTAGAGGTTCCTTAAACTGCTAAACATGGAGATTCCCTACGACCCAGCAATCCCACTCCTAGGTATCTACCCAAAAGACACAAAAACACTGGTACAAAAAGATATCTGTACCCCCATGTTTATTGCTGCTTTATTCACAATTGGAAAGACATGGAAACAGCCCAAATACTCAAAAATGGATGACTGGATTAAAAAGATGTGGTACATACACATAATGGAATATTACTCAACAACCAAAAAAAAAAAAAAAGAAACACATGTCTTTCGCAGCAACATGGATGGAACTGGAAAAGATCATGCTTAGTGAACGTGTGATAGCCAGAAAGAAAAGGAAAAATACTGGATGGTTTCTCTGATAGCAGGAATATAACAGAACACGTGAGAAAATAATGATAATGATGAACAGCTATATACCAGAGATATTTTGTGGGGGTGGAGTAGGAAATGGGACCAAAAACAGCGGGGGGAGGGAAATGCACTGGACTATGGTGATGGCACATGGGTGATTTGGTGATGGGAAACCCAAGGGGATTGCAACTAAGGTGGAAAAATGCACAAAAATATGTAAAAACAAACTATTATACAATTAAAAAAAAAAAAGAAAAGTGCATTCATTGTATATTGGTTAAAAGAATGGTATCAAGGATACTACCACCTGAATTTATCTCTGAATATCTAAGCCAAAACCTGCTGAATGATCGTAGGTCAATTAACCATTTAGGTAACTTAACCTCTCTGCCCCAATTTCCTAGCATTTATCAATACAACTCGCCACAGGATTTTTGTGAATAGTAAATGAATTAATAACCAAAATAGTACTTGATAAATGCTAAGATTTTCTGTGCATGACATGCAGAATTGCTGAGACTCAATAGCAAGCATGCTAAATTCCTTCAGTCTCTATATTTCTAGCTCTGATGCTATACACTATCTCCTAAACAAACCTCACTGATTTTTAAATATAAATCGTTTACCCATTTATAGGACAGTAACAGAAAGATCATAAAATACAGTTCTATGTTTCAATCACAGTTAACAATCTTTAAGTCAGAAGTACTTGGATTCATTGCTTATAGGAATGCAAATATAATAAGATTTTCACTGGTGAATTGACCATTCCATATAATTTAATGACCTTTTGCCACTTACTTGGACACAGGGCTAAGAAAGAGTGTAAAACGATGCACATTTCAAAGATAGCCCACCAAAATTAACAGATCTCAAATATGTGGCAGAATTAGAATCTACCATTCCCTTCTTCTTCGACCCCAACCTTTTGTTTCCACAAAGTGTATTGTTCCTCATACCTTTTTAACTTCATCTTCAAAACCTTTCTCCAGGTATTTGTAGCGCCTGATTAACTTGTTAAAAACCTATAAAGAATAGCAAAGGAGTTTAATGGCCAATTCATAAGTATAGTTACCAGATTCCTAAAGTTCTAGGTCAGGGGCACTGAACTCTTTCCCATTATACCTCCAGAACTGCAAATAAGTGAACCTCTTTCACTGGATCAACAGTTTAAACAAGCCATTCAAATCTGCTTAAATAATCTGTTTAATCCTAAACCCTATACTATATCAAACCATCAGTAATCAATTCTGCAGATTTTTGCCACCAGTATTATACCAAGGATTAGTTACTATTCAGATACAAGTAAGTCATTTATCCATTTGTAGGACAAGCATAGAATAAGATCTTAAAATACAATATTATGTTTCTTAGTCACACAGTTAATCTCCAAGTGAGAAGATTCTTTGAATTCTTTGCCTACAGTAATAAACTAGTAAGATTTTGACCTATGAATACACCTTCCCATATAACCTATTATTCACTTTTAAAGTTACATGCAGAGTAACTTAAAGATGGAAATCATAACAGGAAAATAATTTTCCCTCTCTAGTCTTTCTCTTAAAAAAAAAAAAAAAAGGGAGGGGGGGAGGGGAGTAAATAGGAAGGAGACTAATTCAACATTTTTTAAAAATCATTTTCCACAACATACTTAAGTTTCTAATTCAAAGACATTGTACCAAGAACAGTGTCTACTAAATCTTTAATTCAAAATTCCTTCAATTATTTATCTGTAACCCTTCAAAAGCAAACTTTTTTTAAACATTGGTCAGACTGAGAGCAGCAACCTAAAATTGTGTCATTTACCTGTGCAAATGCTTGCATGGTCTCTAGGTCTTCTTGTGCTGCAAACACACAGACATCTGTACGCATCATGTCATCTGCCAGTGTACCACCTGGGGCTAGGGCACATTTTAACAAAGTTGCAGTGACGTTAAAGTTGGTAATAATTTCAATTTTACTATCTTTAAGGAATCTCATAAAATAAGATTACAAAAGTTCTAAGAGATGATTTGTAAAAAAATTAATCTCAGTAGGAATGCAGCTAGTGGTTATGTGAAATGTGAAAAGTGAAATAGCTTACATAGAAATAATTTATTTTTGCAACACAAACTGTGTTAACAGCTCAATAATGCTAGTTATCTGTCACTCTGAAAAGATCAGGAGTTAGTTCAAGTATCTTTCTATGTAGAAAACAACCCTTCAAGCTTCCAAACAGGCCAAGCTAAAAAATCCCAAATGTCTGAGATTCTCTCACAGATACATTTGTAAGTATTTGTGGATAAACTATTCAATGTACTTTTAAAACACGCTGGAGAATGAAATCATTGAGTACACAACCTAAGATTGTTAACTGCTGAAGTTGGACAACAAATCAAAAGATAGTGTAGTATTATTAATCTTTGGGGTATATGTCCTAAATGCTTAAAAAAAATTTAAAAGGCTTATTGACAGCCAATTTAATGAACAGAAAACACATATTTCAGATTTCCTACTACAAATTGGTAACACAGTGAAATATTCATTTGACTAGCCACTAGAACACAGGTTCAAGAATCTATGTTCCTGGTTCCTTCACCAGATAATTGTTTAACTATATGTAAGTCCCTGAAACCTCTATTCTGCATGTATACAAATGGAGTTCTAATTCCATCAGCTAGTTGTGAAGGTCAATAGGAAATATTAATGTGAAAACATTTTAAAATACTTTAAAGAACAATGGAAATTAAATTACCATCACCATTTGAAGATTTCAATAGGACTAGCCACATTTCATGTGACTGATAGCGATACACAGCTATTGAGTGGATGATGCAATGAATAGGGCAGAATGAGAATTTTCAGGTATAGAGATGTAGTTATTTCATAAGCCAGCCAGAATAAGAAGTAGGGGTTTCTCCAATAACTGAGTGTGCTCAAACACAGGCTGGAAAAAAAACACATGATGGGGGGGTACTGCAGACTTAGATTATCACATCTGGCACCCCCAAACGTTTTGTTTCTGAACAGGCTTAAAATAAAATGCTAGGCAGAGCAAGACAATCTGATTTTACTATGATTTGGGAAGAAAAAAGGGGAATACAAAGAGAGACAGAAAACAATAAACAAAACTACCCATCTTTGACAGGTTTACCAAATAGTTCACATTCTCTATATAATCTACATATATCACATTTTCCCCAAAACTCACCCAGCATTCCACCAGCCACCAGGATGTCAAAGAGTGTTTCTGCATATCGGCGGTAATCAAGTTTTGCTCCAGAAGCATCAAGAAACTTTGCTACTGCTTCCAAATCAGTACCAGTTTCAGTTAAGCCTTGAATAATACAGTCTTGAAACTGGGTAGGGTCAAACCTCTCTTTTTCATCTGAGGGGGGAAAAAAAGCAACCCCAAAATGTTCAGTTTTAAAAGGCTCACTAAAAGGCCATGAAATCACCATCTTATGAATAACACTACTGAATAACTCAATCACATCCAACACAATTTCATTTATTTCAACAGCTGGAAAAAAACAAGTACAAGCTAGATTACTCAATGCCTGCAACACAGGCAAAATATAATAGGAAACAACAGACATTCTTTGCAAGCACAAGGCAGAATTGCCTAGTCACAAGAACTATGTGGTCTTTTCCCTCTTTTCTCTCACATACACACCTCCCTGCCCCCATGCCCCCAAGCAAGCTAAATGAGCTGCTAGTGAGTACTTATTGCCAGGGGATAACTTCAACTTGGGATGCTGTCACTGCTTCTGGGTTTTTAAAAAATTTATGACATCCTCTAAACTTCAGGTAAACCCTATTCCTCAGTGTAATTTTGTTTAAACACTGGCGCTCTTGATTCTTTTAAATGCCCGCAACACTCTTTTGCTTTTATAATCACTCATTTGATATTAAACATTCTTTAGAAAGCATAATTATTGAGCACCCAATATATGACACAAACTACAGTAGATACCTTGCTTTAATCTTCTAACAACCTTGTGAGGCGGGCCTTTTTGTTCCCACTATACGATTGGGAAAGTGAAGGTCAGAGAAATTAAGTAATGAAGAGACTATTGTTGTGCAGCAGTGAAGAATGTAAGCTCTGAAGTCAAACTGCCAGATTCAAATCCTCATTATAGCCTAACTGAATATGACTACCAAGCTCTGTTCTCCATGCCTGAATTTCCTACTGTATATAGTGAAATAGGTATGAAATAACACTCCATAAAGCTGATTTATTACATGATATAAATAAAATAGAAAACACTTAGAACAGTGGGTATATACTGAGTCTTCTCATCACACACTCCAGGAAAGGGTGTGATTTCCCCATTCGGTCAGAGAACACCCTTATTTTCACACAGCACTAAGCTGATCAATTCCTCCATCTACCCAGGACTGTGTTTTAAACACCTATGTCCTGGGACCTACCATCAGTTCCAGGCGAATCAGGATGGCTGCTCACACTACTCAGGCCATGAGTGATCTTGACCTGTACCTGGCAAAGTCACAGCTCTTCCTAGTGCTAACACACACCAACAAAATTACAGTGGCATTACATTTACATACAGGAGATACCACAATTTACATATTCATTACACAAGAACCTGTAACATAGATCTCTCAGTCTGCAACTCAAGGTAGAAAAACAATTTGTAATCAATAGTTGATCCTGCTTACCTTAAATCTCTGTAAGTCAATAATATTAAAAAATTTGGGAAAACATTAAGTTACAAAATGTCAGGAAAATAAAATACATTAAGAACCACACCTCAACGTTGTATCATTAGTCAGTGTTTTGCCACAGAATTCAATATACATTTAAGTACCTTCTGACAGAAAAAAGTTACCAGTTATTAACCATTCTTAAGTGTCTCAAAAATATTTAATTTCAAAGGACATTACAATATGGATATTGTCCCATAATTAACTTCCACAGGTAAAGTGTGATTTTAATCTCACAAATCTTCACAAAATCTATGTAAAATTAATGATCATATTATTAGCTCTCATTTTATAAGCCTTTTCTCTTAAGCAAAACCTTGGTAAAGTGACAATGAAAATACAGCCAATGTTTCTTTTTAAGGTTCTTTATCTTCATAATAACATCACCCATGAACACACCTTCATATATACATATAGACAGATACTACACAAAACTAAAGACTTGGGAAAGCAGTAGCACTATTAAGGGTGTATCTTTAAGTAGCAGTAAACTAGGAATTCAAGTTCCTTTCTGTTTTTTTCTGGCAACTGCATGCCAGAAAAACCAAGATATTTTTGAAAGTTAATCTGTAAGTTTGACCAGAGATAGTATTAAAACATATTTACCTCTTTTTCTGGTTTTAAAACGCTGGCCTGATAGCGTTGGCTTTTGCTGCTTTTGATTATTCATAAAAGACACCCTAGGAAAAGAAAAAGAGGGTCTTACAAATACCAGTGCCATAACATTCCTTTTTAAGACAAAGTATCAAACCCTGGACTGGTCACACAAAAAAAATTCGATCAAAACGCTTGCTTTCAGCATAGCAAATATACCTTTGTGACAGGCACAAAGATACCTGTGTTTGGATTAAATATAACTTCAAAGCTGCATTTCTCCCTACAAGAGAAACACATTTGAAATGTCGTCTCAGCACTACAGTGCGTGGGGGCAAACCACCAGGCACAATCATAATTATTTAGGTTCTTCCTCTTTTAATCCTCCACTGGTTCTTAGCACCCCAGAACACTAACAACAGGTTACTGCCATCACCAGGAGGTATCCAAAAACATGCAAGTCAATTTTAAGACGCTGTCAAAGGCCAACTCCTTTTTCCGAGGGACCTGGCTGTGAGCAGCACCACCCCACCGAAGGGGAGCCCGCGGCCTCAGCGGCCGCTTGCACGCCGGCCTGCAAAGTGAACTGGAAGCAGGCCTCGCTCCAGTCGTCCACAGCCTACCATCCAAGTCTCCTCCGGGGCAGCTCCCTACCCACACCCTTCCCGGGCTTCCTGCTGCGGACCGATGACCCACCCCCGCCCAGGTCCCCTCGGCCACGGCGGGCGCCGCAGCGACCACCCCTCGCCCTGCCCACTGACCCGGTCGTCGGCGGTGGTGGCCGCCGCAACGAGCGGACCACAGGCGCCGAGGCGCTTCGCGCCGGGGGCCCCGCCGCCCCGTACATCCGCCCGCCCTCCAGCGAAAGCAGCGGCGGTGGAGGCAGCCGCAGAGGTGGTGGCGGCCCCTCCGCCCCGCCCGCCGGAACCCCCCACGCGTACATCACCCAACAGAGGCCGCGACGGCTTTGTTACCCAGGCCGGGCCGGGCCGGACGGGGGTCTGTCTCCGCCGCGGCGCACACCCGGGACCCGCTCCTCGGCCTCCTTGCGGAAGCGGCCGCCCCGGTTCACCAATCCAGGCCCCGGGTCCGGCCCGGCCTCATGCGGCGGCCTCGCCTCAGGCCGATCCACGCCGGCCGCGCAGGGGCTGCCGCCTCCCTCGCCCTCCGCCCGGCGACGAGGCGCCGCAACCTCAGCCCCGAGTGGGTGGACGCCGAGCCTCACCGAATTTAAGGCGAAGAGAAAAGAGCCAGAAATCCCCGAGGTGGCAGCAACTGCGGCGGCGTCTCCTCTGCGACCGGAACTAACGCGAGGAGGAGGAGGAGGTGGAGGAGGAGGAGGGAAGAGGGACGAGGTGCCACCCACGCCGCGGCCGCCTCCTATCGCGAGATTTGCCGCCTGGCACTCTTCCCCGCCCCTCCCGGCCCCAGGCCTGGCGCCTCTGCCTTTTCCACTCGAAGAGGATGATGGGGTGGGGACGGGACAGAGGGCGAGGCCGGGAGGCTGACTTCTAACGGGGGCTTTATTCTCCAGTTGGGGTCCGGGGCTCCCGGACACCCACTCTGGACTGGCCTCCTTTTGTCCCACCGCCGCGTTATCCGGCCTTAGTCAGTACACGGAGGGGTGGGTGGACCCACACCCTCACCACCCCGCCAGTCGCGAGGATGTTGGGCACGTCCGCCCCGGCCGCTCCCTGGCGGACCCCTTCCCTAGCGCCGCAACTTGCGGTCCAAGGGCGGGGTCGTTGGAGCCTTTTTTTGGGGGGCGGAGGCCGAGTTTGGCCAAGGGGACCTCGGAGCGCGTTAACTTCCTCTACGGTCAGGGTGGCAGGATTCGCTCAGCAAAGTCCCGAGCTGCGCGACTTTGCTCTGCGGAGCCTGGACGACGCAGATAGGGGGTGCAGAGGAAAATTCTGCCCACTGCGGCCGCTGGACCTTGCAGTGGTCTCGCTTCTCTTCTGAGGGTGGTGTTTGTGGGAACAGGAGAGCATTAGACATCCCTGGAGGATTTGTTAAAACCCAGATTGCTGGGCCTCACCTGCAGGGATTCTGTTGGCCCGCTGCGGGACCGACTCAAGAAGGGGCATCTCAAACAAGTTCTCTATGATGTGCCTGCTGCTGCTGTACAAGGGGCTGCACTTTCAGAGCCACTGAATGAGGTGGCGTAGCATTAGAGAGCTGGGGCTGAGATAATGGTGTGAAAAGCACTGGCGACGTTATAAAACTGTAAATATAGAGATGCACAGGGTATGTTTTCCTCCCATGTTTGTACTAGGTCAAAAAAAGTAGTTCCATCTACTTTTTCCAAAGAATCAACAACAGTTTGTCCCTAAACTCACCTTCCCTTGTACCTACTGTTCCTTCTTATAAAACGTTTTGGTAAGTTAGTCTAATGATCTTTTATTTAACTTTCTGCCCTTCCTAACTTAATGGAAAAAAATATCAGACTTCTTTCCTGGAATTATCGCCAAATCCAGTCATCTGTTTCAGTTTTCACTCACCTTGCCTTCACTTGTTAGCATGATTGAGGGGCACCCTGGACCCCCAAACTGCTAAGGTGTGCAAGCAACACTCCTAATGGTGTCTGGCCAGCTGTGCACAAAGGAAAGGAAGCAGACTCAGTGGGAAAGATCCTTAATAGAGTTCGAAGAGTCAAGAAAGGACATTACTAATAATAGTTTTCCAGTAAACACCCAGCCCCAAATTACCCAGACTCTCATGAGAAGTGTCCAGGCAAATAGGGTTGGCCTAAAATGGGATTCCTGAGTCTTGAAAACTTGCACAGGTGTAAGGTACTGTCTGGTGGGGAACCATAAGAAGACTTTAGGCAAGTCTGGGACCGAAGGAGGGACCCAAAAGTACAAATCAAGATAATGGCTGCCATTGTCTTTGGCAATATCGTAAATCTCCCATAAGTTTGTCACCCACAAATCTCTTCCAAGACTCCTATGTGTCTTCCTCAAGTCTCCCCAGCAATACCAGGGTGCAAGTTGGGTTACAGAAGCAAGAGCCCTCCAGAGTCCAAATGCCTTCTGTGCTATATAGTTTCACTTGGCACTCAACTTCACCACTAGTTCCCAGTAGCTCAGCTGTTCAGGAAGTCCTGTTCACGGCACTCTGGAACCTATAATCTACGACAATGGCATGTAAAGGGGGTGAGGAAAATGGTACTGTCCTCCTTAGTACACTTAGGTATACTTCCAAGTGTATCTAACACTGGACATATAGGGTGTTACCCATCTCTCAAACTTTGCTCCAGCTGTCCTGTTATCTTGCTGAATATTAATTGCTAACTTTTTTTTTTAAATATTCATTTATGCACACAGGAACTGGAGTTGTAGGCAGAGATGAGGGGACTGAGGATTTACCAGAGACAGGTCATGTACTGAAATCCACTGTTGTGGAGAGCAGTGAGTGGGACAGGAGAGGCTTGCTGCACCACATGGGTCAACTCCCTGGTAGGGGATAGAACTCTGCTGCAGTTGCTGTGGATAGCTTCATAGTGCTGAGACTTAACCCCTTGCACAACCAGGGAGGCCCCTAACTCTTTTTATTATACTTTTTTCTCATGCTTTCACTAAACAAGTATTTCTTGGGCTCAGGTTCTATGCCCTTTTAAGCTGAGGGAACAGTAGTGGGAATGTCCTGAAATAGGAAGGAAGACACCTAATATGTTGGGGAAATTGAAAAAACTCCTGTGACTGGAGCTTGGTGTGAGATGAGAGGGCTGTGGGGAGCAGAAAGTGACAGGAGATATGTAGATTAAGTTTCCTCCCAACCTTTTTCTGAAGTGCCCAACCCACACATTATCCTGTAACTTGACTGGAATGCCAAACTAAATATTCAGTACTGTTGATTATTCTTCCCCCAAATCCCCAAAACTGTTTTTTTCCTCATTTCTGAAGTTCTATTAAAGATGTTTCACTAATAAAAATAAGAGTGACTTTCATATTGCAGGTATGTATCATGCATTCTTCTAAGCACTTTATAATTAATCTCATTTAATACTCAAAACTACACTATGCTCTAGAAACTGTTATTAGCCCCATTTTATAGATGGGAAAACTGAGGCATAGAGAAGTCAAAAACTTGCCCAAGGTCATAAAGCTAGTAAATTGAAGAGCTCAATTCAAACCTAAGCGTCTGTCTCCACGTTATAATACATGACTTTGCCACCAAGTCCTTTTAGCTTACCCATTCAACAAATACTTATTGTGCTAGAGATTACAAGGTACAAGTCATACCTGCACCCTCATAAAACATAACTTTTACATTTGTCACTTTTTTCATCTATTTTTTTTAAAGACTTATTTATTGATGCATACATAACGGGTACAGGCCAGAGGTTCAGGGGCAGTGAGAGGGTTCACCAGAGACAGAGTGGGGAGCAGAACAGGCAGATTGATGAAGTATACTGCTGATGTGGGGAGCAGCGGGCGGGTCAGCAGAGGACTGTTGTGCCATGTGGGTCACCTCTGGGGCCGAGGATCGAACTTGCACTGAAGTGGCTGTGGCCAGCTTGCAGTGCTGCGTGCTAACCCATTGTGCCACCAGAGAGGCGAGAGGGCCCATTTTTCTCATCTTTTACTACTCCCATTTTGACTTAAGCTTCTATTACCCCTAAATGGGACTTTTGCAATAACTTTCTACCTGCCATCCCTTTCTCTACTCCTCTAGAGTAATCTTCCCCGAATGTACACCAGTCATTCTCTTCACTGTTTAGATACCTTGGTTTGTACTCAAGAACACATAGGGATAGCTCTAATTTTTTTTGCTATCACATCAGTGGTTTTTACCTGTTAACTACCATTGATTGTGGGTTTTGACTAAAACTTTATAAAAGTAGCAAGATAAATTCTTTTAAAATTAAAGGTTTATCATAAGATCATCTTCATTCACTGCATACTTACATACAACTTGAAAATAAAGGAGGGTGTGGGATTACTGGCAATTGCTTATTGCAAGTGGTCTGTTTTTTTTTATTTTTATTAAAAAGTTTATTTTTACATCATTTTGCACATTTTTTTTTCATCTCAATTGTAATCCCCACGGGTTTCCCATCACCAAATCAACAAGTGGTCTGTTTTACCTATGTTCTTGGGTTGTATGCATGGGAAAAGCTGCACCATGGGAGTAGGTACAGTGAACTGGCATGGAAAATGTTCTACCTGTATCATAGCAGAAAAAGTTTTCAAACAACTGATATGCCTTAAACAAACTGGACACACCAAGTGTCTCTTCTTCCTGAAATATCCTTTTACATTTTCTTTTTTTTAAAATGGTTTATTTATGCATACAAGAGCTGGGGTGTAGGCCAGAGATGGGAGGTGGTGAGAGGCTTCACCAGAGACAGAGTGGGGAGCAGAACAGATGGGTCTACTGAAATGCACTGCTGAGGGGAGCAGAGGGCAAATCGGGAGTGGTCTGCTGTGCCATGTGGGTCAGCTTCCTGGTGGGGGATTGAGCTCTGTGCTGCAGATAGCTTCATAGAGCTATGTTTCAACCCTTTGTGCCACCAGGGAGGACCCCTCCTCCATTTTCTACTGTCAAAATTCTACTTCCTACTTCAAACCTTATCTCACACCATATGGGTCACCTCCCTGGCTGGGAATTGAACTCACATTGAAGAAGCTATGTAAGCTTCACGATGCTG